GACTTAGTCACAACCAAAACAAGTGGGATGGTGTCCTCAATAGGAACTAGAAGAGGAGGAGGAGAGGAGGAAGAAGAAGAGACATCACCAGACCTAGAAAAAAATGAAACAAACTCAAAGAAAGTAACATCAGGGCAAACAAAGGAACGTCAAGAACAAGGGTTATAAGACATACCCTTTCTAGGTCTGGGAATAGCCAAGGAATATACACTTGGTGGATCATGCATTTAATTTATCTATTCCAAGTCCAAGATTATGAACAAAACATACACACCCAAAAACCTTGGGAGTAAAGGGAAAAGGAGATAAGGTAGGAAACAAAGTGGTGAAAGGAGAATGACCTTCAAGGATGGGTGTGGGAATCCGGTTAATGAGGAAACAAGATGTAAGTACAACATCACTCAAAAAACGTTTGGATACATTCATATGATGCAAAAAGGACCGAGCAATTTCCAAAAGATGGCGGTTCTTTCTCTTAGCCACCCCATTTTGTTGTGGTATGTAGGTACATGAAGTTTGATGGATAATGCCATGTTGTTCCAAATACTCCCGAAACAGTGTATAAAAGTATCTACGGCCATTATCAGAACGAAGAATCTTAATGTGTACACTAAATTGATTGTAAATTTCAGCATAAACTTTTTGGAAAATGGAAAACAATTCACTCCTTTCTTTCATTAGGTAAAGCCATGTCATCCTTGAATAATCATCAAAGGAAAAGGACTCTAGCTTCTATAGACCCCAAATATCTGAATGAATAAAAGAAAAAGGACTCGGCATATGATTATCAACCCTAGGACTGAAGGGAACACGATGTTTCCCCAACTGGCACGACTCACAATCCAAAACAAAAAGACGACCCAACGATAGAATAAGCAACTCCAATGCTTTAAGTGATGGATGACCAAATCTACAGTGCCACTGAAGAGGAGAAAGAGACTTCTAAAGAGCTGTTGGCGAACCACCACCACCATCAAGATAATACAGTCCACTAGCTTCATGCCCTCTACCAATCTTCATCCCCGTCTTGAGATCCTAAAAAACACAAGAAGAGGGGTAAAAGGTGATAGAACAATTAAGAGACTTGGTTAGTTTACTAACAGAGACATAAGATTAAAAGAGAATTTGGGAACATACAAAACTAAGGATAGGGCTAAGGGTCTATGTCAACATTACCAACACCACAAATGGAAGATGTGGAACCATTAGCAAGGGTAACAGAGTGTGGTGTGGAGCACTGTGAAAGCGAGGAAAACACACCTGGAGTCCCAGTCATATGATCGAAAAGCTCTACAGTCGATAATCCAGGAGGTGGGTTTGGATGCCAGACAAGCCATACTTGAATGTGGGAGAGTAGTTGTATTCTGTTGAGAGGTGGCTTGGATAAACCGCTCATACTCATCACATGAGAGACTCATCATCTCCTTCCTGGAGACATCCGTAGATGTAGAGGGCATCTGATCAGCTTGTTAGATATCATGTCTTGAACTACCATCACTGGCCACTACATGATTTGCCCAAGTTGAAGGTAGGCCGTGCAAATCATAGCAAAAATTAATGGTGTGCCCTTCCATACCACAATGTGTACACCTCCTCGGACCATTACTATGTTCTCTGCCACGAGCTCCCCCTGAATCTCGACCTCCAACACATCCACCACCATGACTATACATGGGTCCACCACCACCACTACGACCATACATGGATCCACTGCTACCACAACGACCAAGCTTAACTCCTTGAGCTCCACCTCTAACACCACGGCGTCCCCCTCTCGTCACTACGAAGGCAGACCTGTCAGAGATAGTAGAATTCTTTGTGGGCCCAACAGAAATTCTCCAAAGACGAGCAAATACCTATTCTAGAGATGGAAGAGTTGACCCTCCTAGTACCTGTGCTCTCACTAGTTCATATTCAGATTTCAACCTTACTAAAAATCTAGTCACATCTAGTTGTTCTCTCTGTTGTTGCTGAATCTTAACATCAAAAGTGAGGGGATGGTATACATTCAACTCATTACAAAGGTTCCTCATGCTAACATAGTACTCCTTAAGACTTTGATTACCCTGTTGCAGATTAAAGTATTCTTAATAAAGCTAATACACTCTAATAGTATTGTTTTGTCCCGAGTACAACTTCTTGGCATGGTCCCAAATCTCCTTGGTTGTATCTAGGAACATAAAATTCAGACTGATCTTGGGTTCCATACCATTCCATAACCATGTCATAATCTATGCATCTTCTTGTTCCCAGTCACTAACTCTTGAGAGTCAACAGGAGGTTTTTCTTCTCTTACATCCTTCACTTTCTTCTTAGCTCTAAGAAAGACCTCTACAGATTTCGCCCAATGCACATAATTCCCCCCATTCAATTTGATAGAAGTCATCTAAACATTTAGGTAGTCGATGGGAACCATAACACTAGATTTGTGTTCACTACTGTCTTCCATATCTGAATTCCCTTTTTTTCTTTCGTATATCAAACTTCTAAATCACTTTTCACCACACTGCACACTAGTGAAACCACCTATAGTCACAATTTTCAATAATACCCATCACTGATTTCTTCACTTTCAGCACCACAAAACTATCCCACAACTACCTGAATACACACCATAACACTAGCAACTCACCAACCACTCAATTCACACTAAAACAAAAATATAGCCCACCTATTTGATCACCAAAAACCAACCTGACACTCGACTGTCCACTGCACCACCTGAAACAGCCCTCTTCGTACCATCGATTAGAGGGCTTCCTACAAACCACCACAAACACCCACTAAACCACTGCTTGGAGGCATGAAAACCTCCAAAGGGAAAGGGTGACCACTCTCCTTTTCAGCCCTTTTCCCCTATCTCCAACAGATGATGAAGAAAACTGTAAAACCCTATGCTGAATGGCGATAGAACAGAATTCTGGGCAGATCTGATTTTGTCACAGTGGCTCTGATTAGAGGTGTAAAGTGGGACGGCACGGCCCACGCAAAATTTTGGGGGTCGTGCCACCCTCCCCAATGAAAATTTTGGGGGTCGGCCTGGCACGGCCCATGGCCCGAGCCCGTGCCGTGCCACAGGCCGGGCTGGCCCATGGGCCGAGCCTTGGGCCAGGTCGGGCCAAAGCTATTTATTTAAAAACTTGACAAAAAACTTAAAATTTTAATTTTATATGAATTTTGTGTATAGAATTGCTTATATATGCAATAATTAAATAAATTAGTATAATAAAATTAAAAAATATATTTATTTATTTTATTAATATATTATATACTATATTGTGTTAAACTGATAGGGTTTAGCTATCAGATTCGATTGTCTTCTTCTTCTTCTTCTTCTTCTTCTTCAAACTGTTGAAGCCACTGAGCAAACAATTATTATATAATTATAATTTATATAATATTATATAACTATATACAAAATATCCCGCGGGTGGCACGGCCCGCTCAGTCATGTCGTGTCGTGCTGGCCCGTGGACCTAAAACCCCAAGCCCAGCACGGCCTGCATGGTCGTGCCGAGCTTGGCATGACCCGCGGACCGTCGTGCTGGGCCGGTCCAAGTTCGTGTTGGGTCGCAGGCGGCACGGCCCGATTTACACCTCTAGCTCTGATACCATGATAAAGTTCAAACCTGCACTAGAACTCTATTAGAAATAGTATTAGAGGAAGATTAGAAGAGATAGAAGAGAGAAGAAGAGAAGAGAAGAGAGAAGGAGAACATTGGTTCGAACTAGAGAGAAAAGTATATTTCTCTAGTCAGCCAGGTTATATTTATAGGTTTCTATTAAATAAAACAAATGATTGTTATATTCCTACTTAAGTATGGGACACATCACTTAACATAAACATTACACATCAGCTTAAACATAAATAGAAAGACTAAACTACCCCTATACAGTCGACACTAACATAGTACATATCTCACATTGAGAAATCAGATGGTCTATTTTCAGAATGTGTCAAGAATGTTATCCACATGAAAATAGAGCCTTTCTCAAAAATATGCAGAGACATTCAAGGTAACTTTAGCTTGATCCCTATGTGTTTGAAATAGAGCCATTGCTTGGTGTAATAGTAAAATCTCAGGCTGACAAGCGTGAACATGGGTTTGAGTGTGAGAACTGCCATTTTGTCCAAAAAGAATACCCAAGGTTAGGCCCATATCCAGTTCATATCTCTCAAGACCCCAGATTGCCGGGACCAACATTGAGTAATGGCCTCTGCTCTTGAAATAAAATCGAAGTACAGGAGGAAAATTATTTAAAATTCAAGTCATGCAATGTGCAACTTGAAAGAACGGAGGAAGGAACAGAGTATAGCCCTGCTAAGAAGATACAGAGGAAGGAACAGAGTATAACCAACTCGCTCCTACTAAATTCTTACCTATGTTTTGTGCCCATGTAGCAGAGCCTGCTAAATGTGAACAAGGCAATACAAAATGAAATGCATGACAAAATTATTAAAAAAGAAAATGAAATGAATGGCAAATGCTGAAGGACCCTTCTTTTGTTTTGTGCTATGCTGTTTGGGCTTAGGACACAGATCAGGCATCAGGCAAGTGAATGGAACCATGAAAAGGCTTTTGCACTGTAGAAAGAAGGAATCTACACAATTGGTCTACAGCAGTAGCCCATAGTTGTAGTACTGTGTCACGTATTTCTTTAATTCTTAGCCCAGAAGGGCAACTGTAATTGAACATATTAAGCCCCTCTTCAATAAAGATATGGCTATATAGGGTGGTGGTTGATCATTCTTGACACCCCTTCAGCTTCTCTTGCTTTGGTTTTAGTTTTCTGATTACTTGTTTTCTTGGTTCAGCCTTGAACCCTTGTAGATTTTCAATTTTCCTTGTTCACATGCACAGATTGAAATTAGTGCCAACCGCATTTTAGGTGTGTTGTAGTCAAAGAAAATAATCAAAACAAAAAATGAAGATAGCATATACTGACTTAAATATAAGAGTATGGAACTAGTGATATTTAAACAGGAGTAAGTGTCATACCATGCTTTTACATTTGAAGCGCCCAGTGGGTAGAAGCACTGAATTCTTCCCTGCCTTAGAGGACAGAAATAGACGAAAACAGCGGTTTCGAGAATATACAGCAGTATCAACAAAAAGTTGACAAGGGATTTCATCAGAGCTTGGATCTTTTGAGATAAAAAGTTTATCAAGTCTTCGATCACTCTCCCTTGCACTACAAATCCGTGAGCATATCTGATATCATGGCATCAAACAGTGGCAAACCAACACTGCTTAATCTATCCACAGAGAGGTGAAGAAAAAATATATCTGAGACGGCAGAAATTCCCATCTAGCAAGTTCATGGTTATAAACTGTAGAAGATCCCATCTTACATAGAATGATTTATGGCTGTACAACAAATTGGGTTCAACTAATTTAAGGAATTTGTGCGCTAGGAAGCTTTGCTAGCTAGATTAGTGCAACTTGGGTCAGATTGAATTGCGCATTTTTTAAATTTTGAAGGGGCCTGATCCTGTATCCAGACCCAAGCCCAAAATAGTACAAATTCTTCAAACAAGGCAACCCTATATGCATCCTAGATAAGTAGGTTACATATCTATGTTCGATATTTAACAGGCTCCATATCCACGTTGTATACATGATGCTCCTTTGCCATAACTGAGTATTATAGCTAAGAAGTAATTGGACATCAAGTAAAATTTATCATAGAGAAAATTCTGAGAATCTGTTGGCCACAACATTTAACAGTGGATATGGCATTCAACAGAGTGGAATGAACAACAGGATTCATGTAGTTGACCCTATGTTGGGACAAGGATTTTTTGAGTTAAGTTTAAATACTAAGAATACATCAAGAACTTCAGTAGGATACCAGCATGCATATAGGACTTAATCAGTAAGGAAATAAACAATTAATGCACAAAAATGCTTCCCTAAGGCATACCTCAGCAACAAATGCACCGGCATGTAAGTTGTCCTTGAAGGCAGTTTTTGGTATGCGAATGATCAAATGACGCGAAAATTTTTCTGCCAAAAAAAAATATTATAAATGTGGAGAATTTAATTAGACACGTGAAACCTATGAAATTTCACTCAGCATACTACTTAATTTTGTAGCCATTGTAGAGAAGATAGTTATGTAATTTTATCTTTCTTGTATTTTAGTGTGTGTGTACATTATTGTACAGCTTCTTTAATTCTTTTGTAAGGACAAACTTGTCCATTATATAAATACTCACTTTTTGGGTTGGTTCAATCAAATTGATCAACCCTAACAGATCTGGACTATTGGTTTTCCTCTTGTCTCTTCACTTTCTCACAAACTAACATGGTATTAGAGCAGGCTGTTCTCTGATCCATTACTCCTTTTCTAATCTGTTTGATAGCTGCCCTCATCATCGATTGGTTCTGGACTGTTCTGATCATTCCAGGAACCAGTTTTTTGTGTTTTGCACATCCAGCAAGAGAGATTTCATTGGATCTCTCTCGGAAGACATCCGTTTGCGGTGAAAATTGAAAGGAAGTGTCACCTGGTCCTATATATCATCCTCTGAAAGTTTCATCAAGATCAGAGAAGAAATGAGAGAGATCTATACACCTCTTCTAGGCAGCAGCAACCAGTCTTTCCTTTTTTGGACTGTGTTCTCAGATTTCAACTATTGCTGTATCTTGGATACTCTCTTTCGACTAAAAGAGGTCTCTTCTCTTAGTTTTTTACTCTCTTGAATTTGTTCTCTGCTTATATTGCTTGCTTCAACTAGTTTTTGCCTTGTGTTCTTACTCGACATGGATCTGGAAAAGAATGAAATTATTTCTGCTAAGTTCAATGGAAACAACTATGCTCTCTGGAAGTTTCGCTTTCAGTATTTTGTTGAAGGGAGGGGTATGTGGGGTTATATTGATGGTTCCACACCCATACCCGAAGCTAATGATGTCAAAGGGCTGAAATAGTGGAAAACTGAGAATGCACGGGTTGTTTCGTGGATTCTTGGTTCTAACACTATGGATGTCAATATTCCAATGAGAGGACTCAAATCTAACCATGACATGTTCAACTACCTTGAAAAGGAGTATCAACAATCAAATATGTCTACGCAATATCATATTGAAGTTGATATTTTCTCTTATGTTCAAGGGGAGAAGCAGATTCAGGAATACTATGTTGGGTTTGTGAACCTTTTGACTGAATATGAATTAAATCACTTTGGGGGACCTCTCTATGGACTGTTGTGTGAAAACTATGAAGAAACATCTCAGTAAGAGAAAGACTATTTTTTAATGCATCTCATATCTGATTATGAGACTCTACGCTCTAGTATACTTAACAGAAAGCCTATACCCGATCTTGATGTAATACTTGGTGAGTTATTAAGAGAGGAAACTCATCTCTTCACTCAGTCTGCACTTGATTAAAAGAAGGAACATGGAATAGATATTGTATTCTTAGCTACCAAACAGAAGGGGAAGGATTTCTCAAAGATGCAATGTTATGAATGCAAGGAATACAGACACGTGGCATCCCACTACAAGAAGAAAATTTTCTGCACCTACTGCAAACAGCAGGGACACATTATTGTGGAATGCCTAGTCGAGCCCCCCAAGAAAGGACAAAATAATGCTTATCAAGCCTCAGCTGAACAGACTCCAAATAATATTGCCTCCTCATCAGCTCACAAACCTAATGCACAGGGAAATTTGACTGAAGATAAGATTTGTGAGCTCATGTCCTTGGCTATTTCCTCTGCTTTTTTTGCTATTGGACTGGTTGGTAAGTCTGCTTATTTGTGTTCTCCTTCACACATGTGGATCATTGACTCCAGGGCCTTAAACCATATGCCTAGCGCCTCCTTGGTCAGTCTTCTAAACCTTATACCTTTGTTAACCACATTATTACTGCTAATGGTGATTCACTTCCTGTATGTGGGTGTAATGATTTATTTCTATCCACTTCTGAGTCTACACCCTTACATCTTCCCAAAACCTTCTTTGTGCCTATGTTGACTACTAGCCTTATTTTTGTTGGACAATTTGATAATGGTAATAATGCTTTGTTTACTGGTGATGGTTGTTTTATCCAAGACCAGCACACTGGGGAACTGAAGAGGAAAGAGCGTAGGCTTGGAAAACTGTTTGCTTTGGAATTTGAGAATAAGAAAGCTTCACCATACTCTTGTTTGTTATGTACTACTTCTAGTTTTTCTCCTACCTCTTGTAATAATGTGTGGCATTTATGGCATAGACGTTTGGGTCACACTCATGCTAAAAACTTGGATTATTTATTTTCTTCTGGTTGTTTGTCTATGACTATTACTTCAATTAAGAATGTTGACAAATCTTGTTTAACTTGCTGCTATAGTAAAAGCCATGTTTTGCCTTTTCCATCTTTTACTAAACATGCTTCTACACCTTTTTACCTTATTAACAGTGATGTACGGTCGTTTCCAGTTATTTCACGTTTGGGTTGTAAATATTTTGTATTGTTTATTGATGATTGTACGAAATATACATGGGTTTGCTTCCTTCGAAAGAAATCAGAGGTCTTTCCCATTTTTAAGAACTTCTGTGCTATGATTATGACCCTGTTTAAAAGCACTATAAACATTTTGAGGTCAGATTCAGGGGGAGAACTTTGATGGTGAGAATGGTGAGTTTCAAACCTACCTCAAACGACATAGCGTTCAGTCCCAAAGATCTTGCCCAGGTACACCTCAACAGAATGGGGTATCTGAGCGCAAGAATTGTCACATTGCTAGTATGGTGAGATCGCTGTTACAAGACTCCCATGTTCCCATTACCTTCTAGGTGGAGGCGACCCGCATTGTTGTTCATCTCATCAACATTCTTCCTACTGCTATCTGTAGAGAACATTGATGTGGGCCCCACAGCTGTGGTCCCACTCTGTCCGTAGGGTAGAATGTATCTAGTCATAGCTGTGGTTATTTTGCTGTTCTGTTATTTCTAGTTTCAGTTTTATATTGGTTGTTATTTGTTAGCAGTTATGATGTAAACACCAAGGGCAGATATGTCCTTTCATGTAACTAGCATAACCTATATATATTAACTTAAAGTGGCGGCGGCAGAATAT